TTAACGCCACCTGCTTGTACTTTTGTTACTATTACCTTTATAATTGTTATTATCACTGCTGTTATAATAATTGCCGTTATTACTGACATATTTAGGTGTATCACTTTTTTTAAATCCAGAAATCCACTGTCATTGGTTAAGGATGTTTGTGTTATAAAGCACTATGCATTAGAGTAAAGCCTGAAGATTTAATTGAAAACAGCATTGTTCGCTTATGTCTTGTTTTAATAATGGAAATATTTAATAGTTTGAAAATAAGTTTCTCTACTCCCGACGTTCTAGAAACAAAATTAAATCTTTTGAGAGAAATCTTCATCCGAAATGAATATTCACCAAGAATTTGGAGAAATGAAACTTCACTTGCGCCGAAAAGGAAACTCTAAATGGTCTTGGATTTCAAGGGAGATTTAACAAGCGATATTCTCAAGAGGGGGATAGCATCATCTCTGAGAAGAACATTCTTTGCAGAAACGCTAAGAATAGTGTTCTTCAGTCGCCCACTGATCTGTAGAAGCCTTAAGGACAAGATTCATTATAGATAAGATTTTATTTTGATAAATCGCAGTGTTTACAGTTATATGGAATTATACTCTACCACAGTGCCCAAGTTTTATACTTATATCAATTAAGGACAAGATCCTGCATCTGACCACTTCTATGTGCATATATCAGTTCACCTGCTGATGTATAGCCAGGTACATCGGTCATTCGACGCGCATCCTATCCAAGAGGATTCAAGAACACTATCCAGCATGGTTGCGACAAGGTAATAGTGGTGCTATAAGGAGTGAGATAATTGAACACCTGGTTAACACTGATCATTCCATTTCAACAAACGCCTCCTGCTTCAAAGTAATCTACAGAGTCAAGAATAAACTACCAAAGGCAATATGGTTTCGTCTTCTTTGTATTGCTGAAGCTCTGGCCATTCAAGTAGAAAAATCGGAGCTGTGCATACAAAAGAGAATTAACCAACCACTTCTACTATCATGGTAACAACTTTTTTGATTTCATTTAATTTTTTGTTTTTGATGACTTAATTTTGTTTGTTTGCCTGTTTCTTTAATTGCTTATAATTCTTGTATTCATTTAGAACTCTTACGTAATCTCGTATTCTCTACTTTGTTCCTATATGTATCCTGAATACAACTAAATCATCAAACTATTCATATTATTACATAACTCCTTTTTAACAACTCATCACTTTTGTTACTACCCTAGTTTCATTAGCCCCCTTTTTTCTTAACTGTTTTTGTATTACGCAACTCCACCCAAAACTTACTAAATCTCACCTGTTAAGTTAAAATAACCGTAACCAATTGTATTTTTGGTTGACAAGCTTAATGTACACATACATATAAAATAGCCCAAATATATTTGCGATTGTACAGCTATGAAAATGAATTAGCCGAAAAGAAACTCTTCGCTGGACTATGTGTTTTGTTTTCATAGCTGTGTCAAAATCTCGTAACCTCAATATTGCTCACCCTATTTTGCCACTTCACACGGGAGATAAAGCACAGACACCTATGATCAAAGACAGCTAATATTTTCATGTCTTCCACCCTCAATGGTCAGGTCTCACAGCCATAAAGGAGGACGTAGCGGACTGCTAAGCAGTACACCCGCCCTTTGGTCGATACCCGGATATCACGTCTACTCCAGAGACAGAGTAAACTGGCATATGCGAAACGAGCCCTTTGTATTCGTGCTGAAATTTCGTCAGCGATCAACCCACTGGTGTTGGCTGATGCAACTTCCTAAATAAGTGAAGTCAACGTGCTCTACCACTTCACTCCCTATTTCTAATCTAGGAGTCAATGTAGTCCAGTCCTGTAACATCATTTTACATTCGGCGGGAGCGAATTGCATACCAAGCATTCGCAGATTGCAGCTCAAGGTATTCAGAAGACTCTGCATTTTTTCGGCGTCTTCACCTAGGAGACAGGACGATATAATATGCATATTCTAAGTAAACAAGATTATTTCCTGGTAGCAAGTCAATCCCTGAGTCGCTGGAGTCAGTTAGGGTTAAATCTATTAATACATTTACGATGAAATTGAATAGAAATGGAGATAGTGGGCTTCCCTGACGGACACCACTTCAGATGAAACCTCGCTATGGGCTCTCCCCTGGCTGACTGCATGAGTTCGAGTAGAGTGAGTGCTTTGACCAGTGCAATGTATTTTCTCGGCACTGGTTTCACAGCCGAACATAGCCAGAGTATCTCTCGGTCGACAGAATCACGTTCCACCTTTAGGTCTAGAAATATAATGATTGTTGGACGCCAGTGAGTGTGTCAATGTTCCAGAATCGGTCGAAGGGTGAAGATATGATCAATACACCCTCTTCCTGGTTTAAAACCTGCCTGACTCTCTCGTGTTTGTGTCTCCCGTGAACCGCTGGGTCTAAGAATTATTAATGAGCCTAGAACTTTAGATACCACTTTAGCCAAGCTAATCCCCCTGTGATTATCACAGGAAGACTCGTCTCCCTTCTTGTATATCGGAATAGTCAATGACTTACACCAACCCGACGGGACTTCCTCTGATTCCCAGACGCTGCCTAGTACCTCAATTAACGCAGAGAGTAAACTGTCTCCACCATCCTTAAACACCTCTGGATTCATTCCATCAGATCCTGCTACTTTGCCTAGTTTCAGACTAGTGACAGCTTTAGTAACCTCAATTAGGGACGGAGGACCTGTGTCTCTATCCCATTCAGGGACGTGTTGGATGTTCGGTAAGTTGAGCATAGCTTTAGGCCTTTTGAATTGCTCCTCAAAATGTTCTTTCCAATGTTCCAGTCGTCTATCCTGAGAGGTGCCATTTTTCCCAGAGATTGTTTTACTTATCATTTGCCTTTTACCACCTGTTTTCCTGATAAAGTCTAGATAGTTGTCTGGTATTACCAATCGCCGATGCCATTTCGATCTCTTCCGCTTTTGTTGCCCACCACTGTTCACGGTCGTTTCGTAGGCTTATTGTTAGTTTGCGTTTGAGTAGCTTTCGCTCCTCATCATATTCGGAGCACACCGGAATCAGTGTTCATGTGTCAATCAATTTGGATGAGGCGGTAGAAATCCACTGGCTCTTAGTAGCTTTAGGTTTCAGGTTATTAAAAGCTTTTACAGCTAAATGTATGTTGTGCCAGGCTTCTTCAGGAGGAGTCCTGCTGTCAACCTCAGATACTCGATTTGCTATTTCTTTCTTAAATAGGGACTCCGAGTCTCGAAGTAACTGCTTCACTGCCAAGAACTTTTTATGTCCGTTTAGACGTAAGCGTAAACGTGCGCAGACCAACTGTAACATACTTTTGTTCTGAATGTAACTAGTAACAAGCCTTCTTTAAGCATTAGCCTGACCTTCTCTGTACTCCAATTAATCTCATTTAAACGGAAAAGAAATCAATTTTGGAAACTTTTACAGTCTGAATATTTATAAACTAATGTGAATATTGATTTAAAGACAAGTCATATCTTTATTTCAATTGAATCTAAGAGAAGTCCGGTCACTGAGACAGTCAATTATTATATTATTATTGTTCCCTTGGATTCCTAGTGGAGCATAGGGCTTCAACTGCACGTCTTTACTTGCCACTTCTGTCTTCTGCTGTACTTTTCACCTGCATCCATGTAAGTCCATACTGTTTCAACTCTTCACACGACCTCCTCCATGTCACTCTTGGACGTCCCACTCGCCGCTTCCCTTTCGGCCTGGTTCCACTCGAGCAATGGCCTGACGCGCGCACGATGTCACATAGCGGCCTCCTCAGCGAGTGTCCAATCCATCTCCCAAGATTTCACAATGAGGAAAATGATCTCAAGAAACTTTACTACTAACCAGGTAAGCTTATCCCCTCTAGTTAGGAGGATATGCTATTTTCAACAAGGAAAGGACCTAAATGCTATTATGAAACTAGTTATTCTTGTGATGAAAATATTCCACAAAGTATCAATAAATTTTATGGAGGAACCAAGCAGTTAAATACGATTTCCGTTTTAGATGACGTTAGGATTCTAAAAGGCCACATGAGACCATACTAAATTAACAATTTTCCCAGCCTTATACTGATTTTCTTGTGACAGTTTACTGTTAACTTCAAGTAAGAATATTTCACCTGTAAGTATGTTCGACTGAAGCCATTCACTTACTAGAATCAGATTTTTAAATACTAGATTATAAGTCACACTTACTGAGTGAGAAATAATGATACTAGCAAATTCTACAGACTGGAATATATACACTGGTATTCGAACCCAGAGCCCATTGGTTGAATGTCAAGCATAGAAGCCAGTAAGCCATTTTTAATGCGGCTGAGTGACTGTTATCAACGATTCGGAGGCATGAATTGAGAACTTCCTTTCGAATACATTCTAATCCCTTACATCAGTCAACTTTCTGAAACAGCACTTGATAGTGCACTGTCCTAGCATAAATGACTTTAATAATCCTTGATATTAGATGATTGGAGACAATCGAGAGGAATCTCAGGATCTATGTTTCATGCTTATTGGCACTTGTCAGCCAGGAGTATCTGTAAAACTGTCAGGGTTAATGCTTCCGGTCATATTCAAACCACTGTCACTGAACGCAGCAATCACAGACATCACAACTGAGCTATTCATAACACTTACAACTTTAGGTTGTCAGGAAGATAAAATATGGATAAAACCGACTGATCTCTCCTATCAGTATTACGACCGTTGAATGAAGATATGTTGCGTTTTACGCCGCGTATAAGCTACCCAAGGATTGACTATATTATTGCACACATATATCTGTGTACCGCTATCTGACAGACCGAAGCCTAATGAATGAGATTACTAGTGTTTATGCCAACTGCAGCTTCAGGTTAAAAAAAACTGTATAACTCATCACAAATAAAATCCGAATGTGAATGGAAAAAATCACTAAAAACATCTTTATAGTTGGTATAAAAGTCAATTTTTACAAATAGATAGTACAAAATCAAAAGGGATTATCCATCAACTAAAAAATTAATCTTTACAAATATTCTGTAAACCAAGTTCATTCCAAGCAGATGTGAAAAGAGATTGATCCCGAAATCCATGAATACTAATAAGATTATCAATATGACCATTTGAAAAACGAACTGACAAAACACCATCTAAGTGTACTGGACTAATGCCCAACTTATACAATACAAGACCAATAACGACATCTTCAAAAGGGAGCAGTTTGGTATACCTCAATCCAACAGATAGAAGTTGTGCAACAGGCTTGCTGAGGAGGATAGTACCACCGGAAGGAAATGGTGGATATAAACTGTAAGGGTAATCAGAATAAGGAACAAACCATTTGCTGAATGGAATTCTTACTGGTTTGGGCACACGTAATACATCCCAGCTATATATGTAGGATAATGTGTTTCAGTAACTTCAGAAATAGTTTGAAGCAGATTGGGTGGATGCATGATGAAGTCATCGTCAATCAGTACTAGGAATCGAGCAGAAGAACAGTCATTAACAGCAAAATTTAAAGTTGCTATAAGCTTATACGTGACATTGTGATAACTTTCAACAAAATCAAACTGAACAATATCACCATACTTCGAACTTTCTTCATTCACCAAACCTTGTATGTTTGAATATTCCCAACCAGTAAATTCAGATCTACCAAGAACAAATAAAGTTCTGGTGTGTACACCAAAATGAAGAAAACAGTTTGGATTTCCCCATGATCTACGTATGCTGTTGCGTGACTCAAAGTGCGTTAATGCTGATTTGACAAAAACGACTAGTTGAGGTGACATATTAGGTTGATCAGGTAATTTACAGGAATACTTTGGACTGAGAATAGTACGAAAGCTAGTAGGATTGATAGGTTTAATGAAACTTTGATTAACGGTAGTCTTGAACTCATTTTCATATATCATATACAAGTCAACATCTAAAGGATGTTCAAAATAATTTAAACTTATGCCTTGACTAATGTACACTAAATAGGAAATTAAAATGACAAAAATAAAAAGGAAAAAAAGGAAAGTAACAATGTCAAAATAACGGTTTTTTAAAAGATATCTCCTGTACATTTTCATGTGAGATGAAGTGCTTGTTTACCTCCTGATGAATCATAAAAGATGGATCTGAAAAATTTAGAAAAACAATGCAGACTAATTACTTTATGTGTAAATAAGAAATACACATTTATGCTGGTCAGTACACCGTAAAATTGATAAAGCCATTAAAAAAGGATAATGAATTTGGTACATTCACTTAATGTATGTATCTACAAGACTATGGATAAAAGTTACTACGGCAAGTATTATGTTCTAACTCCTTATGAAAAATAAAGTTTTCAGCCAATTATACGATTTTTTTCTAAAATATTTTTGCTAAGCCTTTAGACGGAACATTAACTACTTATTACTTATCAGCAAGCAGTAATATTTATACATACTGTTTTAATGAAATATAAAAAATGAAATGCAAATGAATACTTGGGTGCACAGAAAACAGTTATGAATATTGTATAGGTGAAATTAAATGATATCAATCTGCATATAATTGTGATACATTTCTGTCCTCTCTACATTATGGCAACTTGAACTGCAGCACTTTAATGCATAGTTCCACGTTGACCGGCCAATCAATTCGCATGTTTACAGCCGCTGTAATTAGCCTGTGTTTAAGATTTTAATGCAATTCATTAGAAATTTATGCTTCTGCCAAAAATATTGAAAAAAAACGATAACAGGAAAGATGAAATTATTTCTAACAATTAAAGTGCTGCCTAAATCTGAGTTCTCAAACGTAAAACTAAAAACCTCAATTTTGGCGTTACTGCCAACACAGCTTCTCAAGGACTTCAAAATATATTAAAATTCCACACAATCATGTACGCATATATGACCAGCTTTTTACTTGAAGGTGATAAATACTAACATATTGAACAGAAATTGTGTGATATGATCGCTATTTTCGCGAAATTCGAATAACGTTACAAAAACTTTCATCTTGATATCATTGTCCTATAGTATGCCTAAATGATTACCCACAACATTCAGAGCTTAATTCTTTCAGTAACCCCTGTACAACAAGCGAAACCTGTTTAAAGAACAGAAAACGTAAAAAAAATGCACCTGTCTGTCTGGATTCAACATAGAACTTGGCACCGAAGTGCAGCAGTTCTAGTTGCCACATTCCAAATAGCACACAAAGGTAAACAAGAAGATGAGTGAAGAGAATCAATAGAGTTTGACAAGTATAAGAGTAAAGCAGAATGTGTAATGGTAGAAAGGAAAATGAAAGATTACAGAGACTGAATACATCTGCGCCATTGACAACGATTTTGAGACATGTCACCTATTGTCTCCAGTCATTGATTCTTAGAGTCCCGAGGGCCCCAACCCGGAAGTCTGCATCTCCCTACCTGACTCAGTTTAACTGTCAAGGATTTCATAAATTGATGCCATGTTTTTTGTTTGGCTACCACTTACTCGTTTCCAACCTGCATCTATATCAGCTAGTAATGCCCGTCGGGGAGGCGATGATTAGGCATGCGCGGCACGTGACCTAGACATCTCAATCTATGTAACTTTATAGCCTCGTCGATTGTTTTTCCCTCTTTGCCCAACACTATGCCTAACGTCAACACTACTTACCTTATTATACCACCTAACGTGAGAAAGAGATCGTAGACATCTATAATCAAAAACAGTCAACCTTTCCATGTCTTCAACTCGTATTGGCCATGTTTCAGAGCCATAGAGAAGGACGGAGCGAACTGCTGAGCAGTACACACGTCCCTTGGTTGATAGCCGGATGTCACGCCTACGCCAGAGATGGTGTAAGTTAGCGAAAGCTTTTGGATCCGTGCATACAGTTCTTTATGCACTCTAAGTGCTAAAACCGATGTATAGCCAATAGCGTCCAAGAAACAGTATCGACAAATATGACTGACAGAGTTCTCAACGCAGAAATTTGCACAGAAGTGCTTCAGTTCAAGTCGCCTTACTTAATAAGGCACATAAATATAAACAGTGAAATCCTCAACCACTCCACTCCCTAACTATCTATTGGAAGTCCGTGCAGACCAAACATGCAGCATCCCATTACATTTGATAAGAGTGAATCGGCTGACAAACAGACCAAGATTTCTGCTGTAACTGTTCAAAACATCTATCTTACCAGTGTATTCACCTAGAAGAATTATATAGACAAGTCTGTCCCCCCCCCCAATAAAACGTCAATCTCCAGGCCGTTAAAGTCGATTAGGGGCATATTCATTTGTAGATCTCCGACGGAATTCAGTAAAATGGAGGCAATGGGTACCCTTGATGGACACAACTGGTTTGCATCATACGCTCTTATATAGCTCTGAGTTCTAGTAGAGTACCTTGATTAGACATACTTTCGCGGCATTCGATAATTATAGACTAAATTTAACTTTGAATTGTGATAAAATTCGTCCTTTAAGACTTAATACGTTAGAAACGCATTAAAGCATCAAATTACGTAGTTCCCAGAGGTAAATTCCCTACAGCACCAATAGTGTACTTTGTCAGTCAGAATTTTTGAGACAAATATTCCTTAAGTGGGGAAAAGGTATTTCTGCTGGTGCAATATCAAGTTGTTTATGACAATACACTTCCTAAATTATTTGCTGAGTTAAACAAAATGACTGATTAATTTTTAAAATGCCATTGTAGAAAGTTGGAACGAAATGAAAATCTTACAAGGACTATTCAAATAAACAATGGTTTCAAATATCTAAAACAAAACTTAATTGGTTGAAAACCGTAATTTCGTAAGAGCACGAATAAGCATAACTACCGAACACATGTAAGTTTCAGTCCTTCTGATGGCAGTTCAATCACTCATCATAATCTGTTTGCACTTGATGGCATTACTGTTCATCTACACCACCTTCGGTGTTTACAAACCTGTATAGTTGATGCTAAGCATGTAATTGTTCTTCACATTATAAAATGAAATTTATTGTTTAATTTAAATAACCTGATTCCCAAGACAAACTCTGTCACCTAAACACTCATCACGAAACGTGCTTTGTACAGCTACATACAAAGAAACCAACGTAAAAATTGTCATTCCAAATTTAACTACATTTTGCCTTCCACATAGCCATTACTCACAGTGTATGTGACGAATCTAGACATCTAACGACGCCTAGTTATCTACATATATATTGTCGCCAAATTGGAATGATCTAAACTACCAAGCGGATTGACTGACTATTATTATACTAGAGAATTTGGAAATATTGCGACAGGCCTTCTCGCCTGTTGTTTCCAACATGTGAACCACCTTTTCTGTAGCAATAGGACGTGTCAGTCAATGATAAAGGCCTTAAAATTAAGATCAGAAAGTCAGGGATCTGAAATGCAATATGATCAATAGGACAGCTGAATACACGATAAAGACTATTAGTAGCGCGCACTGACACGTGATAACATTTGATCGAAAATAAATGCTGAGAGGGATAGATGTATCTCTCATCATTAACATGAGGTTTGTTCTAGATTTTCCTCAGTACATCTGAATTTTTCCCCGACGTCCAGTAGTACTAGGTGGGAAGATTCCGAAAACAATCCCCTTTCTTGAGTAAAATAGGTAAAACAAATACGATCGATTCACTGCTTCAGTACACACTAAGTGCTGCATCTAGACCTTTACCTTGAAGTATGTATGCAAACGCTAAAGCACCTTTAACAAATTGTTGGCACTATGCAAGTATGCCTTAGGATGAAAAATCACAATAGCCAACAACAATATTTTCAAAAAGGCTTAAAATATTTAGTAAAGGTGTTTTAAGAAAGGGTGACAACACTAACATGAGTGGGATATAGCGCTACGGACAAAACATCTGCCAGACATAACCTTCAAAATTTGATTTTGTGTCGTGAGATCATATAATTTCAAAATTCAATATAAAGTTAAAACACTCAGTGAGCAGTAATTTGATTATGAGCAAAATTTTGGACTCAAAACATCATCTTCTTATTAATAACGTTGAACTGTGTATTATAGAAGGTCAACCTGCATACCGCAGAACAGCATATTCTGTTTATTGTCTTCAATGTATAGTTTGAATATATTAATCCACTTGTTATTAATGAACGGTGATAATTTAAAAATGAACTACAGACTGTATTTGAATAATCAGCAGACAAACTACGTCGTGTCTAAAATCCAACACCTTTCGAAAGATCTTCTGTAGGCAATGCTGATTTCTTTGCTTCTGCTTCTTGGTAATGACGGAATGGCTCCTTATCTTAGGGGGATTTGTGTGCGTCCCACCATGACATTCAGTTTTATAGATCATAAAAGGTCATACCTTGTTGTGTGGTTTGCGCTCCTTGCTGAGGAGTCAGTGAATTCAGGGAAATTAGTTAGTGATGATAATCATAGCGGAAGAGAACGTTATAAGACGAGAAAGGTTTTTGAAGTGTGTGGAAAAAATGGAGAACTAGAAATATTTAAAAATCAATATGTTAGGAAGCAGAGTGGGGGTGGAGATGTTGTATGAGAGTTAGGAAATCGTTTATTCAAAGTTAACCGGAGTCCAATTTTACTGTGCAGTATCTGAGGCCTATAATTCAGTTTGGTATACATTACAGCCACAGAAACACGACATGTGTAGCGTTGTATTACTCTCAAACTGTCCTTGAAAGCTTCTCTGTGGTAGCCTTGAGATCACGCCTAGAAGTTTTGCTGCGGAAAATTTGGAGAGAAAAGTGATGGGAATGCTAACGGGGATCGACAAATTATGAAAGAGATTATGGTGAACCTGTGGTGGTAATTAGATCACGTTCGAATTATCAGTATGCAAGTATAGAGAGATGTAGCGGTCAATAATTCCCGAAAACGGTTGACCACAGCAATCATGATTGAACACTGGATGCTGACCCTTACT